TGCTTCATGCCTCGTACTCATCCTATCAACATGTCTTCATCATGCTGTTTGGGCTTTTAAGAAGAAGCATCGTGGCCGCATAGATGCTACCTCTGCTGTTTCAGAGACCACTGTTCCCGTGCCCATTGCTCTTGCGCACCTGGCGGCTGCTATGGCGGCTTGTGGTCTGAGTTGGGGTGAAGTATATAGCAGAGGAGATTGGAAACAGTCAATACTCTTCAGCTACATTGTATTATTGGCTATCGCGAGACTTTGTTTCCAGGGTGTCATGCACTGGATTCATTTCTATGGCCACTTGAACATGATGACCTTAGCGGCTTTGTCTCTAGCAATTGTGAAGGATCTTGTCCCCATGGCGATTGTTGGCTCGACTTACCGTCCAACTTTTCTTGCAAGTGCCTCACTAGCCTGCGTGGCTGCTATGCTGGTAGTTGTGTTTGCGAGTCCTCGGCCTCGTCCCCTGATCTCGAATGCCGAAATCCATGATGCACAGTTGGAGACGGATGTCTCGCCGGAGGAAACATGTTCTTTGTTTTCGTACTATTGCTCCTATGAGTGGATCACTTATGTGATCTTTCGTGGTTGCCAGAGAGATCTGACCATGGATGACTTGCCGCCGCTTCCCTCATATGACGAGCCGCTGAAGTGGCTGGAGAAGATCAAGAAGCAGCGCCAAAAAGGCGGGAAAACGTTTCGAACTTTGTGCAGACTGCTGAAGACAGAGATCAATAGTATGATTTGCTGGGCCGCGATTACTTCCATGGCAGATTTCTTCGCCCCATTTTCCATGCTGCAATTGCTGGCATACTTGGAAGACCCGACTGCCGCAGTCGTGCATCCTGCCCTCTGGATTTGTTTGCTATTCATTGGTCCTATGATGCGGTCTTTTTGCTATCAACAGTACATCTTTACAGCCACAAGGCTCCTTGTCCGCGTCAATATCTCGCTTGTCCAGGAGATCTATCAAACCGCTATGCGATCGCATATCTACGATGATTCTGTACGTCCACATGGCACACCACGCCCTCAGGAGTCGGCGACACACAAGGCACATGCTCAAAAGCGCACAGGGAAATCTAGCCAAGCTAATCTGACAAGTCTTATGTCATACGATGTTGATGCTATATACAACTCCCGGGACATCTTTTATGTAGCTACTGCAGTGCCGATATCCACTACCATTGCCATGGTCTTCCTTTACCGAATGCTCGGGTGGCCATCCTTATTCGGTGTCCTGACGCTGTGCTGTTTGACTCCGCTTCCGGCTCTGGCATCACGCAGGGTCTCACGCATCCAGCAATCCGTGTTGAGGGCAACTGATGTCCGTCTTGCCAGAATTTCAGAGTACTTGAATTCTATCCGAACCCTTAAGTTCTTCGGATGGGAGCCAGCTGCTGTGTCTTCGATCAATGAGATCAGAAGCGTGGAGCAACGACGCCTCTGGAGGCGAAGTGTCTTTGCTGCTGCTATTTCTATGGCAGGTGATCTATTGCCTATGATGAGCTTGCTTGTCATGTTCTCTGTCGTAGTTTTATTTACGGACCGTTCTTTGCGGGCTCCGGTTGCCTTCACATCTCTGTCAATCATGGAGACACTGCGTTCTCAGTTCGTCTGGCTCTCAAATATCAGCAGATATTCAGCCCAGGGTGCGGAGTCGCTTCGTCGAGTAGATCACTTTTTTGACACAGCAGCCGAGATCAGACGCCATCCAGACGGACCATTGGAGCTCAAGCACGCAACGTTTCGGCGAACACCGATCGCAGATTTCCGGTTACAGGACATCTCTATTTCTTTCAAGCATAATGCCCTCAATGTCGTGGCAGGCCCAACTGGGAGTGGGAAAAGTTCTCTACTACTATCGTTGTTAGGTGAGACTGTGCTGCAGTCAGGAACAGCCACCTGCCCTCAGGACGTGGCCTATGTACCACAGTCGCCATGGCTGCAGAATGACACAATTCGACAGAACGTTATCTTTTACAGCTCGTTCGACGAAGCCCGGTACAATACCGTCATTGAAGCCAGCGGTCTTATCCAGGATCTTCAGCAGCTTCCCGTTGGTGACCTCACCCTAGTAGGTGAGAGAGGCACGTCGCTGTCAGGTGGTCAGAAGCAACGTGTCTCTCTCGCCAGGGCACTGTATTCGAGGTCATCTACATTGCTCTTGGATGACATATTTTCCGCACTAGATACACATACGACCAGCTTGGTTTATGACAAGTGTTTCCGCAGTGGTCTGTTAGCAGACAGGACCATTGTACTTGTCACGCATTTGCCAGCTGCCCTGAAGGACGCTGATCAGGTTGTTCGGCTCAACCATGGCAAGGCTTCCGTAATTAACACGGCTGCTGAGTCCTCGAAGGCACACACACAGAGTGTACCAGACGTCGCCGAAGGGGCAGAGCAGGACGCAGCAATCAGCGGTTCTTCAACAATGGCAGAAGGGTCTTCTACTGAATCAGATGCCACCGTCAATGTCTTGCCCAATGTTCGCGCACAGCAATTTGTACAGACAGATCGCATTGTCAAAGAAATGTCGGCTACAGGTCGCGTACCACGTACATTATGTGAGTTTTACACCAGTTCAGTAACGCAGTCATCGACGCTAATGTGTCTGCAGTCTTACGTTACATGCTGTTGTTTGGCGGAATCTCCTATGCGATAGCCATGCTGCTAGCAACCGTCACAGTGCAATTTGCATACTTCTCAATCACATACTGGCTGTCTATTTGGACAAGCGCGTATGAGAAATACGAACACCCTAACTCACTGTTCTACTTAGCCGTGTATGCTGCAGCGATAATTTCGTTTCTCCTCCTTCAACTCACGAATAATCTTCTATATCAATATGGAAGCTGGACGGCTGCCAAGAAGATGCACACGAAACTGGTGGAAGCAGTACTCTCTGCCCCGATCTCATGGTTCGACCAGAACCCCATCGGGCGTGCTATAAACCGCTTTGGAAATGACACCAGGTCAATGGATACTGTTTTGATTGATTGGCTGCGCATGTCCATTGAAAATGGGCTACGCTTCTTGCTGCGAATAGCGAGTATCGCTTCGATCATGCCGATTTTTGCGCTCCCGGCCGCCGTGATTTGCACGATAGGCTTTTTCATCGGGGAGATGTACACCCGGGCCCAGATTTCCATTAAGAGGTTATGTTCAATCAACTACTCTCCCATATTCTCCCATTTCACTGATTCCCTGGCTGGCATGACTGTCATCCGAGCCCGAGAAGGCATGACTGGGGTTTTTCAGAAGCTGTTGGCGGAAAAGCTTGCAGTTCATGCTCGTTCCGCAGAAGCCCAGTACAACTGCAACCGTTGGGTTTCAGTCCGATCAGATTTATGCGCAGCGTCTGTCGCAGCATCGGCGGGATGCGTAGCGTATTTCTGGTCGGGATCCGCGGGCCTCGTTGGATTCTCATTGACCAACGCCATTGGCCTCAGTCAGACAATCCTGACGTTGGTCCGCACGATGAACGAACTCGAAGTCGAACTCAACTCGTTCCAGCGAATAGGCGAATACGCGGAGATCGAACCCGAAGAGAAACTGAGTGACAAGGAGCGCACCAAAGCGGACACCATACCTGCCAGCTGGCCAACACTTGGGAAAGTGGAATTTCACAGCGTCTCGGCCCGCTACCAGCCCGACGGTCCAGACGTCCTACGAAACGTCTCCTTTGTGGCTAAACCCGGCGAACGCATCGGCATCGTAGGCCGAACCGGCAGCGGCAAGAGCACCCTCGGCCTCTCCCTGCTCCGCTTCGTCAATCTTACGTCAGGCTGTATCACAATCGACGGCCTCGATATCAGCCAGATCCGCCTGCATCGTCTTCGTACAAGCGTCACCCTCATCCCTCAAGAGCCCGTCCTCTTCTCCGGCGACGTGCAATCAAACCTCGACCCATTCGGCGAGGCCAGCGAGACAGAGCTGCACTCCGCTCTATCCGCCTGCACCTCCATCCAAGTGCACGGCGGCACCACCGCCGGAGAAACAAGCAACAACAAACCAACCCGCGCCCTCGCCCTGGACACCCCCGTCGCCTCCAACGGAGAGAACTTCAGCCAGGGCCAGCGACAGGTCCTCAGTATCGCGCGGGCGGTCTGCCGCCGGTCCAAGGTCGTGCTGCTGGATGAGGCGACCGCATCCGTGGACCACGAGACGGATATGCATATGCAGCAACTGCTACGGAGCATGTTCCCTGATTCGACGATTATCGCGATTGCGCATCGGCTGCGGACGATCATGGATTATGACCGGGTGCTGGTTATGGCTGAGGGGGAAATCATTGAGTATGTCATTCCCTTTTATGTTTTTGTTTATCCATGCGTTCTCGGAGGCTAACTTGGAAAGGAATGATTCCCCCGCGAATCTTATTAAGAGGCAAGGCGTTTTCTGGAGTATGTTGAAGAATACAGGGGAGTATGATGAATTGATTCAGATGGTAAGGGAGTAAATGTTCTACCGGCAGGCGCAGTGCATATTTCGGCCATGCCTATTGTGCCCTGGATACCAGTAATATACTCATATGCATACGCTGAGGTCAGGCAGTAAACGTCTTCTCCAGTGGTCTCTTGACCTCTGCCCCAGATTGGTGCACGAAATGCCTGGCGTCTCCCTGTCCATAGCTCGGTACGTTGTCTAACTGTGGCTTGGCCCTGGAGACTATACCATTTTGGGAGTCGGTCATCCCATCATACTATGAAAGCATCATTATATCTACTATAGAGCTCAGCATTTTCATTCACTGTCTCTCTACTCTCAGTTTCCTTCTTCTTTATCTTCTGTCTCAGTCTCAGTCTCATTCTCAGCCACTTTTCTGTCTCACTTATTGCTCCCTGGTCACCACTTAACCACCTACATGAGCTACACTTCCTTTACGATCCTCAGTAAACACATCGCCCATTGGCCCCTCTCTCTACTTCTCTAGAATTGTCATTAGCTGTTATCTATCTCGCCATATCCAACTCGACGTTCCTGCGGTAACAGTCCTCAACATGTCGGTTCCACCTTCCAACCCGAACCCATCATTTGGATTCCCAACGCTCCCGGGTTCGCTTCGGAAGAGGCGATCCCTTTTACGGGAATCGGAAGACAGTGATGGCACGATGGGGATTGAACAATACCTCATGAGCTGTGACCCTTATCGTTCAACAAATTTGCCCAACTTCTGGCCGTATCCATTGATGTTGACCGAGTCCAGAGAGCTTCAAGAGACTCTTCGACCAGTTAAATACGGTATAAGCGCCATCCTAAAAGCACACGGATTCGCTGAACGCGTCCCATTCCTGCCGTATGTCGCGCAAAAGCCTCATTACCCGGGAGGCGACACACCAGTCAATCTGCTCCGCGTGATACTACTGGCTGCTGATGATCACCCAAGACGCTTCGGCCCAGCGAAGGATGACCTCACACGCCTTCTCAATGAAAGGGGCATTACGGACATGTTCGTTGAGATTGTCAATATTGATCTGTGCTTTCAACCATCTCTGTTCCCGATGCCGCCTGACCATGGCCTAGTGGTCGGCTTTGAAGAAGGGAAGCAAAGTATTCTCGATCTCCTTCAATCAACACTTGGGAACAACTGGAGACTGCTCTGCCCGTTCAACGTCGGGCGGGTGGAGGCAGAGGCCGGCCCAGGGGTTGTAATCATCGTGGATCCCCTCACGCGTGCCAATTGGTCTGTTTTGGACACGGAGATCAAATCATTACTTGCAAGACACTGTCAGCTCCAAACCATCGAGGTAGAGTTTCTCCCCGGAGACCTCAAGTTCCTTAATGGAACGTCCTTTGCCGGCAGGGCGGACGGGCCAGCCATGGGGTCCTCCGTTGGTATTCATGGAGATACTAATTCGGGGACACTTGGTGGGTACGTGACCCTCACGAAGGGCGGCGAGGTCTTGAAAGGCTTCCTAACCAATTACCATGTCGTCAGTCCCTTAGGCCCCAAGTCAGGCCCCCCCGACAAGTGTCTCGCTGACTCGGGTCGTTTTGGAAGTTCGTGGATGCGCCAAACAGAAATGAATCAGTTCGAGATGGAGAGTTTCTCTCGTCAGGACACACAAGCCACCTTATCCGATCTCGACACTAAAATAAGTGCCACGAACGAGCAGATCGAGAGGTTGTCTGAAAGAATACGCGAGCGAGAAGAAATGGGCGGCGGATCTGCGACAAAGCTTCGAGACCGGTTAAACAACTTCCAGTCAATAGTCTCCGGCTACCGTCGCGAACACCAGAATGTCACTAGCATGCCCCATCTTATGGGAAGGGTGACGGCCACCTCCGGGAAGGCTATATTGGGCAAGAGAATTAGTGACTGGGCGTTTGTCCAGATGAACGATGCCGCCATCGAGAAGTTCTTCCGACCTAACCACATGTTCCCTGTTCGGGAAGACCAGCAACCAGGCCGATACAAAGCTGGGGAAAGCCTTGCGCCGTCTGCGGGCGAGACTCTAACAGACTTCGGCCCGCTCGTGGAAGGCGATGTATACTTCAAGATGGGGCGCACGACGGGAGTCACTACAGGCGTTTGCCATGGCACGCGGGCAATCTGTCACTGGAAAGACAGCATAAGATACGACCTTATTGGTAACGAGAATGGCCTGTCAGTAACTACGACTGAGGAATATATCATTGTGAGTAAGAGACTAGACAGCGCTGAACACACGCAAGCCTCATTTGCTGAGGATGGTGATTCTGGATCAATTGTTATCGATACAGACGGAAATGTCTGTGGACTTGTCTATGCTGGCTTCAGTGGCAAATGCGGACCCCCCGGTAATGAACATTCCTATGTTAACGCCGGCCTCGTGACACCCATCACCGAAGTGGCACAGTCAGTGAAGCTTCTGACAGTGCGCAAGGACAAGGATAACAAGATCATCAGCGCACCAGCCGAGCTCGGACTCCCTCAACCCTCTGAATCACAGTCTTGAAGTTTGAATGCCTTTCCCAGTCGTTCCTGAGGTCTCTGCCCAGCTGGCTGTACCAAAGCTCAGCCTTGTCACTCAGGTTTTGACGGAATAAAATTCGGCGATCATGGTTCCCACTTCTACCGTTGCCTTTGACATGCGATTTCTCAATCTCAACTGCGTATTCGATATCTTCGATGTATTGCTGCGGATTCTCTGTGCCGTCACGGCGCCTGTAAAAGGGTTTGATGTTTGACTTGGTCCTCTTGCTTCTTCGTGTTGATCGGATTGATCCGGATTCGAGTTCGTTGGGTGCCATGTATGGGACGATCGATATCACTATGTACCTGACTGGTGCCTTAGAACTCGTCGGGCTACTGGCTTGGTACTGATTGCTCCGCTTGTGAGTCAAACTGGAAGTCGAATAGGTGGCTTTGATGTCCGACATTTTAAGGCAAAATAATCTTTCCATATGTAAAATAACTGCTTTGCTCAGGATCACCGTTAACGGTGTCTGCTGCCTCATTAATATGGATTCCTGTCGTCTCAAAACCACTGGTCTACAACGGGGTCAGGATCCTCAGATAGATTGCGGTTCCTCGGTCTCCTTTAGGTAGGAAATACCCTTCCTCTTGCATGCAGAAGGGTGCGATTGTATGAGATTTTGATTGTTCAGGGTGTTTTCAGGGTATTTTATGGCCTCAGTGTAATATAGCAACTCTTAAGCATATCAGTGTCAATAATTATGCTGGACCCGAAATGATCGACTTCAAAAACTGGTAACATTCGCACTGGGAATATTCGCCTCCGTTAGTCTCCTCCACCCTGGTCGACTGAGGCTTGTCGATCAGGGTCGTTAGCTTTATTATTCTCTGGAGCTCCTCGTCCAGGTCTTCCTCGTTGTATTCAACCGTCGGCAATTCTTTCATGCAGTCAATCGGGGCCATGCAGGTGGTTAGTTCGCGTCAGATGCTGTCCTGGCCACAGATCTATGCTTTATGCATACCTTGATGAGGTGATAAATTGTATAAGATAGTCTATCTCCTCATCCATTTTAGAAGGGGTAGGGCCACCAGCCTGCTCAAAAGACTATATATTCACCGCTACTAATAATAGTCTAAAGCGCGCTTCTACCTAACCCCCACAGGACCTGATCCTTAGCAACTAATTCCAATGAGTCGTGCATCCATGGCTCGCTTGTCCAAGCATCTTGGCTGCTGAAACTATGGCAACGTTTTATCAGCTCCCATGTCCAGGCCATTTACTCAATTTTTCGGGCTTGTGGATATCCCTCCTTGCGTTCAGCTCCAATAAAACCGAGGATGAAGAACTCTAGTTACCCAATCAGTATTTTTTGTGGGAGCAATAGTGTACTAAAGATCTGACCTCCAAGACTAAGTCTGTTGTCCCCGTCAACCTCTGCTTCTTGGAATGTCTTGTGAATATTATCACAAGCTTCTTGATTAGTAGGTCGATAAACATTCATTAATTCACCGAGCGTGACATGACCTGAAAATTGGTTATTTTAATGACAATTTAATATGGCCATCTTTCAGATCTCTTACCATCTAAATTCCGATCCTACACAAAGTAATCATGCAGTTCAGAATACTGAAATTAAAGTCTTTCAAGGACTTTGCTGGACATACCGCTTCATAAAAGGCCTTCAGTAGGCCCTTTATCTGGCCGATGGAGTAAAAGATGTTCTAGTTAGCTAGTCAGCAAACAAAACAAGAGCAGTATAAAAGAAATAGCCAGGGATGGCTCTCTTACGTTTGGATCCTTCTCATCCAACTCTTTTAGATACGCTTTCCGAAGTTCCTCTCTCTTCTTGGCTTCTTCGGCATCTCGTTTTGCATAAGATTGTGCGACAGCCTTCCCTTCCTGCGCTTTCAAATACGCGTAATATCCGGACATGACTTTGTTCTGCTGCTAAGATTGGAACTAAAAATGGGAAACGAGTGTATCAGCCGAAACCTGAGAAATAAAAATGTTTCTTATAATCACAGTGTCTGCTGGATATTAGGACACAGAGGATCCGCAGGAATACATCGAAGATATGTCGACTTAAATATTCGTTCCCAGGAGTTGAAACAGCTGATGACAATGCGCGCTGCAGCTGAAAGCGGACGCTATCCACTGCAAGACGATCTGCATGTAGAATGTATGACTTGTACGTTCCAGCCTATGATTTTTGCTAAGTTCTTCCGCATGCGGCAACCATGTATTTTCTCCACTGCATGTGGTAGGACGTATACACGCTACATTTGATGGCATATAAAATCCGCATGCGGCTGGTGACCAGGATGAAATCCATTTTTAAAAGTTCATCTATTAGTCATTACTAGAAGCGGAAAACAAAGGTTATGGTGAGATTTCTGATTCCCTGCATAAGGTCTCCTACAATCTGTGAATCAAAGAATGTAGATAGTGACGCCTGTTTCAAGACAAGCTGTGGTTAATTAACACTGGATCCATAATCACTCTGCAATTGAACGCAGCGCATCCACTGAACACCTGGGAGGAGGTTGGACGTGTTTGTTTTCCTGATATAGCATTTGATCTCCGCTTCTATGCCTTGAACGTTGATGGGTAGGCGAACGTCCTTGGTCAACTGGGTTCGGGTGTCGTTCGCTATGCTAATCTCCTTTCCTTCATCCGAATGGATGCGGATGCTCGTTAAACCTGGCTTGACCATGTGGCGGACTATATCCTCGTTGACCGGGTTCCATTTTGTCGCCTGACAGTGTCATACGGCCAGAGTCTTGCTACATACGGATGGTGGAGGGATCAGGACTATAGCATATAGAATTGTCTTCATTCTTGCCTGGTATATAAAATATACTACCGAAGTATCGAGATCATGCATGCATGGTAATGACACTGCCATAGCGATGGTATTCACTTGGCCTTCTTAATATGATAGTTGGAACTATGGTGTGGCTTCTTGTCGGCTGGTAGACCGGCCTCAACGCGAGCATCGGCAGGGGTGAGCTTATGAGGACCTTGAAGATGCATGATGAGGCATTGACAACGATTCGTGGTGTATGGACATCTCTGGCAGGTATATTGCTCAGTTCTCATCTTTGTCTTCTTGCCGGGCATGCTCTTGGTGTCCAGTCATGTACGTTTCTGATGTGTGCAGTGATGGCTTTTGGTGAGATGAACATCGGAGGACATTCTTTGCATTAGAATGGTCTTTGTTTTATCTCTGTTCAGTTCTTGGGTCTGTGTATCTTGCAAGGATCTTTGAATTGATCCCGTCCCGTAGTTGAAAGACTGACAGACTTAGGCTCATAGCCGTGAGATGGTCTGTGACTCCTGCCAAAGGATACATCTGCCTGAGGGTGTTTGTAACCATCGCAGAGTGGCATGACTGTGCGAAGTCTAATGATCTGTCCGGTCTGAGTATCTGACTTCGAGAGTAACACCAGGCCGTATTCCACCATTTGGGACAATGAAACACTTCGGCATTTTTAAACTATAATCTTAGTAGATGCTGATATGACAGGAAGACTGTATGCGACATACCTCCTAGAAAAGTGGCCACCGAACCCATTCAAGGTAACATTTAGGTGAGGATGTAACGATCCGTGGCCTATGTATTTTTGTACCCTCATCTTGACTAGCCAGTCGTTGAACTAATCAAAGCCGCTCCCGTGAACCCATGTTGGCATTTGAGGTGAAGAGTTCGAGTGGAAGCTTTCATTGTTCCTGATAACAGCTACTGATGCCAAGTCTGGAGACGTAGTGGCCAAGCATCTTAACGGACGGGAAAGCGAGGGACAGCACGATACCTGAAGTCCCTAGCAGGGTAATTATCTGGTCCAGGGGGTTGAGATGTTGCTCCGTGTTGCTACTATAGTTGACGGCGGCCCTTGTGCAGCATGCTGAACTGTCTTCTATGTCAGTGCTCACCTGGGCCTGGGGAGTCGCTGTCGCTATCCATGGTGGACTGTGGTTGGTCTGGAAGACCGTCTGCCCGAAAGTGGAGGTGGAGCCTCTAAGACCGGCCCGTCCCGTCCCTTTAGTGCATTTAGATCTCAACCGTCAAGTAACTTAACAAGAGCCAACATTAGACGACGGAGAACCAGGAACGGAAACGGTAGCAGCAGCGGCCGCAGGCGCTTCACGGCACCAGAAGGGGCCGGAGTTAGGAGCGTTTGATAGGCATCTTTGGCTATCTGTCTTAGCAACGTCTTTACGTCGTCTCCCCAGCGAGGACCTACCTTGTCCGGAAGAAAAAAATGAGTACTTCCGTCATCACTGTCCAACAACATATCAATGGCTTCTGCAGCACCGCTAAGCAATGCCAGCCTCTGTAGCGCACATTGCAACTGCAGTAACTTCACACTTGGGAGTGGACGATTAACTGCGTCGTCTGTCTCCATCCAAATCTTGTGGCCAGACGAAATCAACTGTTTTTTCAAAGCTGTAGAGAACAGCATTTTTATCGCTGCCATCGTGCCGGCGTTGGTCCCAAGTGTGCTAGATTTTGGGAAGCGCTCTCCATGTTTTGGCCACCCAGTACAATTAACGAATGGAAAGCCGACGTTCTCGGGGGCTTAAAAACACTGAGCTCTGCGCCAGTAGGATCACACTCAGCGCAGACGCGCATGTATACTGGGGAAAAAGGCCTCTTCGCCTTGAAGCCTGTTTCTATGAGTGAAGATCAGAGAACTCTCGAGCTCGAGTTCCACTGGCTGCGTCCTGTACCGCGATCTTCAACTGTACTCCTAACCGATATACCCTCTTTCGAAGAGTCTCTGCACGAGAGCAAGGGTAAATATGGGCACTTTCCACGGAATTCCCGATCTTTGTTATGGTGCAATGCTCGCCATCCCTTTCAAGAGACTGTGGTAGAATCAAGTCAGCCCATTTGTAAATGCATGTTGAAGTCATACACCTACTGCTCGCTGTGCTGCGGCAGACCTCGGGGAGTCTGCGACTGGAGACGATCCAGTGGTGTCAAGAGACAGGGTGGATCAGGATGGTTTTGGCCGTGTGGCCTCCGTCACAGACCCATTAAGCCGAATAGGTCCATGAAGATAGCTAGTAATATGAAGAATGGATGGAGAAGGCAGAGCAGGAGACAGGGTATACAGGAGAAGAGAGATGATAATATCTATTCACTAGCTTATATCATTAAAAATACAATGGCAGTCAACGACATAGTTTATGAGAAAGGAAGCAATGGTATTAATCTCATTATCATCTGCATGATTATCTACTAGATTCAAATCTGCTAATTGGGCTAAGAATATTATGGAGTATTAGCTCAGCAAAGCCACAAAAGCCACGAAGCTTGTACAATGCCTTAATCTAGAGCGAAACTCTGATATTTACACAGCTAGCTCATTTCAGTTCCTCATCTCAAAATACTACCAACATATACTCTGGGTCATCATGCAGACGAAATCTGCTGCTCCTCTACAGGCCACTTGGAAATCACAGCCTCCCCGCCTGTCAACGCGAAATGCAGGACAACCGACCGCTCGTTGTTCAGCGCTAGCTCGTACTTCCCCGGGTAGAGGACCCGATTGCCCGCTTTATCCGTACGGGCCACGCTGTCGATGGTCACTGGGATTGTCATAGTCTGTGAATTGTGCGGTTTCAGGTTCGCCAACCGGTCGAAACCGACGAGCCACTTGTTCGGGTATGGAGCAGGGCCAGCGGTGGTGTTGGCGAAGAGCATAGCAGTGTAGTCGGAAGTGACCTTGCCGGTGTTGGTGATCTTCACCGTGAAGTTGAGGAAAGGCATTTGCTCGACGTTTGCAAAGCCAGGATGGGGCTGCGTGAGGAGGTCTTGGATGTTGTAGGAGGTTTTGTTCTTGTCTGCGGCGGCGAGGGAGGCACTGAAGGTGGTGTAGAAGAGCCCATGGCCGAACTCGTAGACGGGCGTGCCGGTGTACCACATGTAGGTCTGGCCCGGATTATTGCCGTGCGGCCGCAGGCTCATGTCGGTGGCTGGGAATTGGGTTGCGTATTTGGCCGGGTACTGGGTGACCACGAGTCGCCCGGCGGGGGCGCGCTTGCCTGTGATGATGTCTAGGAGAGCCTGACCGCCGGATTGCCCGGGGTAGCCACCCCAAACCAGGGAGTTGACGTTCTTGTTGGACTTGAGCGAGGAGGAGTCGACTTGGCCGCCGCCCATCTGGAGGACGATCAGTGGTTTGCCGAGTTGGCTCAACTGGTCGATGAGCTGTAATTGATTGCCGGGCCATGTGATATTCATGCGATCCATGGCTTCTGCTTCCACAGTGTTGTCGATTCCGCCCGCGAAGATGATGACCTCGGATTTCTTCGCAGCAGACAGAGCTGCGGAAAACCCGTCCGTGGAGTTGGACGAAGTGTTCGTGCCGAAAGCGTAGTTCACGTCCAAGTCAGAATTCTTGAAGGCTTCCAATGGACTAATCAGATAAGGCGCCGGTCCAAAGTAGTTGCCTTGAAGCTGAGTCGTCACATTCATCCAGGGGCCAATCAATGCAACACTGCGTATGGACTTGGAGAGGGGCAAGGTTCCGTCATTCTTCAGCAGGACAAAACCTTCGACAGCGGCTTCGTATGAGATATTCCAGGCATCCGTGGTCACGACATCGTTCCAAGTCAGGTTCCGATACACGCTTCCATTGCCATCGAAATAGCCGAGGCGCACCAGGTTGGTGTACAGGCGGATCACACCTCTTTCGATTTCTTCACGGGCGACCTCCTGCTCGTGAAAGGCTTCGAGGAAATAGTATTGATAAGTGGTGCCGCAATCAATGTCCGTACCTGCCCGGATAGAGTCGGCTGCGGCGCCGGTGATGTTGGCCGCAAACTCGTGGGGGTTCCAGACATTGTACGCCGCGTCACAGTCGCTGGACACATAACCATCCTCGACGAAGCCGAATGTGTCACGGAGGAGGGTCTGGAGGAAG